GGCTGTTCTACCAGAGGTCCTGAGTTCAATTCCCAGCAACCACATGGTGGCTCACAACCATCTGTAATGAGATCTGGTGCCCTCTTCTGGCCTGCAGGCCTACATGCAGACAGAACACTGTATATGTAATAGCTAAATAAATAATATAAATAAAAAAATACATAAATAAACAAAACTTATTAAAAAAAAAAAGACTGGGTTTCCTAAATAAATTCTGACTAACTTAACAAAAAAGCATAAGTAATGATCTTAATTCAACATTTTTTGTTTTTTTTAAAGCATTTTTGCATATGCTGAGAGCAGATTACTATCTTACAAGAACTCACTGTTTTACACAGAGCACTGGCTTTTAGGATGTGTGGATGCCCTTGATTTTGACCTAGGGAATCCCTGTAGCAGCACAGGACTACAGCCCCCAAGACCTTGTGAACCTCACTTTGAATGTTCAACACTCGCTTCAGCTCCCTGGTTTTGCCATCATATTTTTTTATTTTTCATTTTGGAAATTTCCAGTCATTTTATCCAGGGTAAAATTATCCAGGTAAAATATTTTTACCATACAAAAATCCTTCATTATCTAAAACATTCCCTTTCATTAGGCATGGTGTCACATGCCTTTAATCTCAGTACTGGGAAAGCAGAGGCAGGTGGATGGATCCCTGTGAGTTTGAGGCCACCCTGGTCTACATAAGTGAATTCCAGAACAACCATGTAGCTATGTAGAGAGACCCTATCTTAAAAAAGAAATAAGATAAATAAATAAAAGATTCCTTTTTTCTTTTTCATGACAGAATTATTCTCATACTTTCTTTAAAAAATAGCCTCGTGTTTATGTGGAGAAGGGAGCCAGTTGAGACACCCTTGCCTATATGGGTGAGGTGTTACTGCTGCTGGCTGGTGTGAGAAGGTCCTTGGATGTGAACATGGCTCAGAGTTCCAGCAGCTCCTCCGCCTGGGGACTGTCATTTGGAAAATGGATCTGCTGGGACTGAAAAGGGTCCATGAGGCACAACAGTTGTGTCCTCCACATGATGGATAAGGAGTGGGGAGGTCAGTGTCGACTACAAGTTCATTTTAGTAGGAGCAGGCACAGCTGAGGGATGTGCCCTGCTAGGAAGGCCCTTACTGAGCCAGGAGGGGTGATCACATGGCAGGTGGCCAGACCCAGGTTCCTCCTAGCACAGTGGTTCTCGACTTTCCTAATACTGCAACCCTTTAATATATTTCCTCGTGTTGTGGTGACCCCAAACCATAAAATTATTTTCGTTGATACATCACAACTGTAACTGTGCTACTGTTACGAATCATAACGTAAATATTTGGTGTTTCCGATGGTGTAGGCAACCCCTGTCAAAGGGTCATTCGATGCCCTTGGGCTGACGACCCACAGGTTGAGAACCACTCTCCCAGCAGGTGCATTCAGGCAGCCAGGCTGGGAATTGGAGACAAACACTGAGAAGTGAAGGAAACAGGAAGCAGAGGGCTGCCTTCCCAAGGGCGGGGCCCAGCGTGCCATGCCAGAGCTTGCCTGTCTGGGTGTGTTCCGTGGGGTCCCAAGGAAAACGGGTGTGTGCCACCTCCACTGGCACACTCCAGTTCCTGCGTGGCATTTGGTTTACAATGATTCTGGAGCCACCAAAGAGTTGCCTCCCCAGCCAGGTCTGCTGCCCAGAAGTGGGAACCATTCCAGACACTCCAGGGGAGAGGAGAGAGAGGCAAGGTTGGAGCTTACTTATATCACACTGATTAAAGGTGGGGTGTCTGGGGCTCAACTCTTTGCCTTTCACTGGATCGAGTCTTTCTAATGGGGGAAGAAGAGACTTTGCTGGAGCCTGAGCTTGGGAACACAGCTCTGCTGTGTTTAGCTAAGGACCCTGAAGAGGAAACACAGTTCTTGGGAGATCACATCTCAGTGCCATCGCAGTACCGGAGACCAAAGAGCCTGTACCTGAGTAACAGAAGAGAAGGAACGGTTTATGTGCATGCTCCATACAAGTCACAGCATTAAAACCAGATGTCCTTTCTTCCTGATCTGCAGATGAAGACACGCCTGCTCAGAGAGGATAAGGGACATGTCCAGCACCCCGTGACTGGGGCCTAGAAAGGGGAGGAGCCAGAGGAGTGATCAGGTGCTGCTGACGCAGTGTCGCTTCCCAGTGTTGGTGTCTGCTTCTTCTCTGGAGACGACAGCAGAAACACACACCCCGAACAGGGCCTACATGGGTCCTGGGAGGTTGGGAGGGAAGGTCAGAGGACTCACATGGCTTCTCTCTTCTGCAGGCTCAGGGAAGGTGTGCACGCAGGTATAGCTGTCTCTCCTGGATGCTGAGACTTGAGACCCAGAAAGAAGTCTCCCATGGCTCCTTATCACATTCGCCAGTACCAGGACAGTGACCGTAAACCTGTCCTGGATATGTTCACAAGGGGCATGGAGGAACACATCCCCGCCACCTTCCGCCGTGTGCTGATGCTGCCCCGAACCCTCCTGCTCTTTCTTGGGGGGCCTCTTGCCACGGTCCTGGTGTCTGGCTCCTGGCTGCTCGCTATTATGTGCATCGTCTTTCTGCTCCTACTCCTGCAGCTCCTTGCCAGACAGCCTTGGAAGAAGTACGTGGCCAAGTGTTTGCACACAGACATGGCTGACATCACCAAGTCCTACCTGCATGCACGTGGCTCCTGCTTCTGGGTGGCTGAGTCTGGTGGTCAGGTGGTGGGCATAGTGGGTTGTCTGCCAGTCAAGGATCCCCCGTCAGGGAGGAAGCAGCTGGAGCTCCTTCACCTGTCTGTGTCCTCACAGCACCGAGGACAGGGGATAGCGAAAGCCCTGGTCAGAACTCTCCTCCAGTTTGCGAGGGACCAGAGCTACAGTGACGTGGTCCTTGACACCAGTACCATACAGCAAGGTACTGAGGCCCTCTACATGAGCTTGGGCTTCCGGAGGACAGGCCAGTATTTCATGAGTATGTTCTGGAGGTTAGTGGACATTCCCTCAATTCAATTAAAGTATTCCCTCCCTTCTGCCTAGGAAGTGGGGCTGGGCCCTATGCCCCTGTACAGCAAGCAGGCCTGCTCCTCTCTGGAGGAACTAGTGAACCTTGTCATGTCAATGTGATGAACAATAAAAGCTCCTTGCTATTGTATATAGTTATTGTACTTTTGTATATAGTTTTTCTTTTGTTAGTTATAACCTTTTGCCTTTTTTTCTTTTTATTAAAATAGAAAAGGGGAAATGTGGTGGTATTCTAATTGTACTGAAATGTGATTTTGATTGTATGTTAATAAATAAAGTTTAGAGCCATAGAAAGAGTGTGGCGGTGGTGGCACACGCCTTTAATCCCATAGATCTCTGTGTGTTCAGGGATACAGCCAGCATTGGAGACATATGCCTTTAAGACCTAGAGGGCTGTACATACAGACAGTGATGAGGCAGTTACGTGTTTGGGTTTACAACCAATGAGAAGGCAGAATGACTTTGAAATGATTTACACACAGGAAATAGCTCTCTTTCGGGAAGCTGGGACACCACAGCAGGAAGGGTGAGATTTTAGCTCTGAGCTCTGACCTCTCGGCAACTTTATGTATTAACATACAATCAAAATCACATTTCAGTACAATTAGAATACCACCACACCTTGCTGGTGCACACCAGATTCTAATGCATGGGATGGCTGAGGTGGGGGGTTGGGGGCTCAGCTACACTCTGGGTTTCTGGGCTGCCTGTGATTTATACACCTAGCTCCACATTACTGTTACATTAGGAACAAGGCAACATTTTTTATTCCTAATACAAAATACTACTGCATATATTTCCCTTTTGAGTCTGTTGACCAGAATTTTCTGCAGGGCTTGAGGGAACAGCTCACCTAGCCTCAGGACGGTTGAATGTAAATGTAGGAAATGAACATGGAAGTCTCTGTGTTCCTGTGTTCCAGCAAGTCATGAACTTTGGCCTGTGGTCATTGACCATAGACTTAGTGGCTGATACCTTGAGTCCACTTTTTTTTTTGAATTCTTTGACAGTTTTATACATGTATACACTGAGTTTTGTATTACAGTCTTCACTCACACAGGTTTTCAGCTAAGCCCAGTCCAGGAGCAAGACAGGAGCCCTCAAGTGCTAGAGACTGATGCAACTTGCATCGAAGGGTTATTGGGAAAAAAGACTAACATCCCAGGGCCTTGAGCTATTGTAGCTCATGTTCATGTCCGCAGAGTAGAGACTTTCATTAAGGAGACAAGTAGATTTATACAAAATAAGAAATCTCATTTACCCCAGAGCTTCCGGAAAGTAAATTTCTAGCCGCCGCCTGTGTTTGGGAACCAAAAGTCCTGTCGTCCTTGTGCAGAGAGATCTATTTTCTCAGAAATAGAGTGTGGGAATGCACACAGCCAGAACACACCCCACGTACACCTGGGCATGCAGTCACTGAAGTCTCCTTATTTGGAAATTAGAAAAAACATGTGCCTTTATCTCTTTATATCATAGCAATGTTGTCTGGTAAACTTGCTGAGTAGCTATTTTCTATGCAGTGAAACATTATTTACTTTCTAAAATGAGGAAATAGGTTCCTGAGACTCAGGTGGTAAGTGGAACACGAGGCCCAGGGGGTAAGACAACTTACAAGATCAGGAAGCACCTGAAGTTAAGTGATTCACTGAGGCCCACCCCAAGGTAAGCAGCAATTGCTGGAGAGAAGGGACTTGCCTTCAGAGCTGCCTGCAAGTGGTCCAGGGCTGCAGGATGCATCCTTTGTGAGTCAGGGCCCATGCTGGGCTGGGCTTTTCAGTGATGATGCTGCCTTTGTATTGTCCATGCTCCTATAAGTAACTCCTTGCTCATATTCCTATACATATTTCAATAAACTCATTAATTCAACTAAACTAGACTCTGGTGACATAATTTATCAGGTCTGTTAGTGCCCACTCTGGGATATGGACATCTGTTCATATTTCTGCAAGAAAATCCTCACGGTGGTTGCCATTGTAAAAATCTCCTCTGCTCCTTGGAGATTTGTGTAAACCTTAAGAGTTAACAATTCTCTGCAAGGTGCACACTAGCACTGTCTTCTGGGTGCCCTCTTGAGATGGAATCACCCAGTGGTTTGGTGCCTACCTCCCAGACTGTGGGGATCTTGGAAGTCTACCTTGGGCTCTTTTTTTTGGGGGGGGGGGGGGGGGTTTCGAGACAGGGTTTCTCTGTGTAGCTTTGTGCCTTTCCTGGAACTCACTTGGTAGCCCAGGCTGGCCTCGAACTCACAGAGATCTGCCTGGCTCTGCCTCCCGAGTGCTGGGATTAAAGGCATGTGCCACCACCGCCCGGCTTACCTTGGGCTCTTGAGTGGGAAACTTACCCTCTCTCATGAAGACCTGAGTGTAGTGGACACCTGTTCTATCTATGACTGAGAGATGTAGCAGGCAACTGTCCAACCTACCTATGACCTTGAAGTACCTACCCCTGGGGCATGGCTCCAGGCTACCCTTACGACCTGAGTTGCACATAGACCCCCCATCTCCTCTCCCTCGTGGACTTGGATGCTGAGACAGACCCAGGCAGAACAGCATGGGACTGTACCTTGGACTTCAGGACCCTATGATAAATCTCCCGTGCCGTAGTGAGTCTTCTTCCTTAATAAATTCCTTTACCCTTTAAGCAGCCTCTGGATTTCTTGAATTATATGAGTCTCATTGGTTTGTCTCACACAGTTTGGTAGGTGTACTGGACAGATCAAGGTGAGTGCTCTCCTCCATTGTGGGCTCTTGTTTTCAGGAACATGGGATGGGTGTAACTGTGGCTACAGGCCTGAACAGGACAAGCACAAGTTAGAAGTCATCAAGGACAGGAAGGGAGAGAATGTTTAGGGAACCCGGACAGCTGGGAATAGACCCTGTCCTCAAGAAGGTCCCTGGCAGAGCACCAGCTCACTCTCCCTCTACCCCCCAATCTCTTCCAGGCCTCCCACCCCATCCCCAACACGCCAACCCCAAGTGAAGGCTGAAAAGTGGCCTCTTGCTGCTCTGGCTCTGGAA